ACCTCTCTCAACACAGATGTGTTTAAGTGAGCTACATGAAATGTGTAGACATCTACTGTTGTGAACACTAAATTAGACTTTCCACAACACATAGATGCATTCAAGTATGCTGTCACTTTTGGGATGACTTTATTTGATATGTCATATTACATTCATTTATAATGGTGTTATGGTTATATAGTGTCTTCAACATGTAGAGTGAACAAGCGCCATTACATAAGTACACCCTCCCTTAATTAATGGCATTGCAACATACCTTCATGGGAATTCCAGTAATAGTTGTCATGGTTAATTCATAATGTGTCTGTGCTAATTGTAGTAATTTGTTAGCAAGATGTCTTCCTGATTTAGTTGAGTTGACGTACGTTGTTAACACAGAGGAGACATTATGTTTGTCTTCAGTTACTGTACTCTCCACACCTAGTGGCATTGTATGTACCAAGTAAAACTCACAATGTGTGATTGGCATCAGGCTGCAACACAAACACATATATACTGTAATCAGTTAAACAGTGGTGGTTGTCATGCAGCGCATGTTCAATAATATGAGGTTAATACGAGAATACCTCAAAGTATGCACAAAGACAGTACAGCTGGAGTATCGACTGACATGCAGTGGAGGTCGATGCGCTGCATATTGTCTGAGTGCATACTTTGAGGTATCCTCATAATAACCTTATTATTATACATCTTTCCCTTCCAAGGATACACCATAGAAATGCTAAAATCCAGAATGTTTAGAACAGAATCAGTGAACTTCTTTGTGTTGAATCTGGTCAAACTCTGATGGCAGCCATGTTTGTTTTTATTTTTAGAGGACGCTTAAGGGCATTTCTTAATATGGTAGGATGAAAATACCCCATAAAATACCACAAAATTACGGCACGCTGTAACTTATGGCGTTAGTGATAGATGAATAATAATATATTTTACAAGCCATGTGTCCTTTATCGAACAGAACATGGCATGATGACCATCACCCTTGGAATTCTCATCACAAGAAAATTCAAACATGTTCAGACCCTGCAATCAGTGTACTATATCTCCCCTATCAGACCCTGCAATCAGTGTACTATATCTTACCTATCAGACCCTGCAATCAGTGTACTATATCTCCCCTATCAGACCCTGCAATCAGTGTACTATATCTCCCCTATCAGACCTTGCAATCAGTGTACTATATCTCCCCTATCAGACCTT